TCGAATTTGTTATAAGACAATGCGCACACTGACACGGATTTTACATCTCTGACAATGGCGGAAATTAATCTGCATGCAAAAATTCTGACTGGAAGGGCTCTGATAAATAATACATATTTATTAATCAGGGAATCAAGCCGATTTAATTTAAATTTCAAAAGTAAAAGAGGGAAAAAGTTTTATTTTAAACTTATTTTAACTTTACGAGTTCTAAACTAGTTAAAATTAAATTAAGTAAAAGTGTTCTAGTTTATAGGCCTATGGATTTTGACGCAACAAGTTTAGGCTTCCTCCTTTGGTAAAACCAAAAAGATCAGAGATTATTTTTATTTTTGCATTAAAATCAATCCCCCCCCAGCCCCTTGCCCACCCACCCAATCCAGACGAAAAATTGTTTTCTCTTGTTGGGATTAGCAGAGATTATTTAACTGGACTTAAAAAACGAATCTGCTCTAAACCGCTTTTCAAGGTCCAGACAGAACTAAGTTTTAGGGATCTTCTGTAGTTCGTTTTTTGTTTGTTTCTTTCTTTTATCCAGGTGCGCATAACATTTATTTTTATTTTTTTTATTTTTGCAACTTTATCTATACAAAAAGTATAGGCCTGAGGCATCTGTTGCAGAATTAATTTTTCAGACGCGCTCCTGATGACGCTGCGCTCAATCCAACTTTGATGGGAAGTTTGAGTCAAACTGTTAGTTTGAGTCAAACTGTTAGTTTGACTCAAACTGTTAACTTTGGGACCTTTATTCTCTATTATTTAAAAGAATAAGATAATAAAAACAGAGTAACGCTCGAAAAACGGGGGTTATCGTTTTGTTTTCCGCTACGAACCGTGCATTCCTGTAATGATGGTGCTCTATAAAGCTGTCAACATCAATGAGTAGAAATGATAAACGGAGCTTGGGTCGCTGGTGACGTGAAGGAGGTGGCAAGGGGAGAGGGTGATGGAGGAGGAGGAGGAGCGGAGGGGAGGGGGGTGTCGCTGAGGCCTCGGGCCCTGGAGCCCTTAGAGTGCGGGCCTGAGCCGGGAGCTGCGAGAGGCTGAGGGCATGATGGCCCCTGTCAGTGTGTGGTCCTTTTCAAAGGAAGAAAGTGTGTATGGGTGTGTGTGTGGGTTACTGTAGAAAACACACACCATCTTTCTCTCTGGTTCGCTCACACACACACTACCCGCTTCCCTTCCCTGCACCTGCGCTAGATCAGCAGGCTACTGGCTGCCATTCAGTCCCTTTCTGCTTCCAACACACAGCTGACAACTCTCTGCCCTTTTTCTATTCAACTTCTTAGCTATGCTCTGTGATGAACGCAGAAAACACTCCAGGGTTGTAGAATTAGAAAAATGAAGAAAAGCTCGATTTTAAGTCTGAACTATTAACTGACACCCACTTTGGTCCTTAAAGATGGGACAGCTTAAATTAAATCCAAGTCTCACTTTTATGGTCAAAATTACAGTTTAGGCAAATATGTAAAAATCAATTATATTCAACTATTTAATGTGTATTTTTATTATTTCTTGTATTTCTAGACCGGCAGCTCTAACTGAAAACAGTTTAAAAAACAATATAAAAATTGACTGAAGTGCCAGGGAAGGTTTTAATGTGGAGGTGACGTCATGCCCCCTCTTCCTCTTCCTCCTCCTTCTCATCATCATCCGCGCCGTTGTGAAAAAGGAAAGTGGCTCTTGTGGGATTAGGAGCCCAAAAGGTCGTATTGTTTGCGTGTGTGCGCGCGCGCGTGTGCAACCGGGTCATTTGACCTAATTTGAGAAAAAAAAAAAAAATT